GGGGGCAGCTAGGGGTGATCAGGAGCCTGAACTGGCTGGGAAGGTGGGAAGAGTCCACTGCTGCCCCTCTGATGCTGCTGGTGGGATGGCTCACCCCCAGCACCACTGTCTTTCCCATTGCAGAAAGGAGCAGGCTTTCACCTGGATCTTCTCTGTGTCTCCCTCCTGATGGTCATCACCTCTGCCACTGGCCTCCCCTGGTACGTCTCGGCCACGGTCATCTCCCTGGCACACATGGAGAGCTTGAGGAAGGAGAGCGCAACCTCGGTCCCCGGAGTGCATCCTGAGTTCCTGGGCATCAGGTACACAATGAGCCCAGACCCCACTCTGGGGGACAGCCTGGCTGGGGCTGTGCAGCCAGGGGATGGGGACATGCCCAGTCTGGCCAGCAGACCCAGCTTTGGATCTGCTTGTGTCTCCCTGGGCATGCCAGCTGTCCCTGTGGCCATCAAAGCTGAGAAAAGCAGAGGCCTGATGGCTGTAGGGCAGGTGGGGCTGTGGGCTCCCTTGGGGGGCTGGGCACCCCTCACCCTGTGCTGCCACCCGCAGGGAGCAGCGCCTGACTGGCCTGGCTGTCTTCATCCTGACGGGCATCTCCGTCTTCATGGCACCTATTCTCAAGGTACAGAGTCTGGCTGATGGGTTTGGCCTCTTTTCCAAGGTGGGAGGTGGCTGTGTCCTGCAAGGCTGCGGGGCTCCTAACCCCACCGTTCCTAGTCCCATCAAACCACGCTGGGAAGCCTGGCCAGGAGACAGGGAGCTGTGTGCTGTGTGGGAAGGGGGTTGGCTGGAACAGCACAGTAGAGCCAGCACCTCCAGTGCACTCTGCCTCTGACAGCTGGCCACCTTACAGTGGGCACTAGGGTCCCTTGGCATCCCCAAAAACACCTCACCCAAAAACACAAACATGCTGCCACACGGGGGCTGAGCCTGGCTGGTGTTGGCTCTCACCTGCCACTGCTGCCACATGAGGCAGAGCCCCCCAGTGTACCCTGGCCACAGCTGGATTTTGTAGGGGCAGGCAGAAGGTCACTTTTCCTTCACCTCTGTCCTCACCTCCAAGGATGGCCTTGTAAAGCCTTCGATATGGTCCCCCATTCACACGCTTTCCTCCAAATGGGAAAGATATAGGATTGATGGATGTTGGCTGGATCAGGAATTGTCTGGATGGTTTCATTCAAAGGGTTACAGTCAGCAGCTCCATGTCCAAGTGGAAACCAGCAAAGTGTGGTGTCCCTCAAGGGTCCCTAATGGGATCCTATTTAGTATCTTCATCAATGACATAGTGGGATCAAGTGAACCCTCAGGATGAGTCTGACATGGTCCTTCATGCAAGGACCCATCTCCCCCTTGTCACTCCTGCAGTAGCCCCAGGACTAGCAGTTCCCTCCCTCCTGGGGCATGTGGTTCAGTGCTTCCTCTCCAACGCTCATTGCATGATGCCAGGGAGGCCTATCCAGCCCCAGGCAGTCCCTGTGTCCCTGATGGATCCATGAGGAGCAGACAGTGATCCCCATGTCCCTCCTTGTCTGCCCTGGCTTGGGTCTAAACCAAACCATGCTGAGCAACACAGAGGGCAGGAGCCAACTTACAGCAGCCGAGGAGGAGATAAAATGGAAAGCAGTGTGCTGGGCAGGCAGGACCCCCCACATTTACAGATCCTGAGCCCTAAGCCATATCTCCAAGTGGCTTGGTGTTATGTTCTCCACCTCCAGCCTGGATTGCTCTCACCATGTGCTGGAAATCAGGTGAAAAAACTCAGTGCATGCTTCCGCTTTCTGAAGACAGCAACGAGTAATGAGGCTTGTCTGGGCTTTAAAGTCCTCAAAGCCGTAAGAGAAGCAAAAAGCCATGAAATTAATCTGGGTTGTAGAAACTTCAGGAAGCAAATGCTGCAGCCATTTGTGCAGGATTTTGCACAGGAGAGGCTGGTGAGTGAGTACAGCCCCCTGGGAATCATGCCCTCTTACCCTGCTGTCTTACAGCACATCCCAATGCCGGTTCTGTACGGGGTCTTCCTGCACATGGGGGTGGCAGCACTGAACAGCATCCAGGTGAGTGGAGCTGAGGCAGGGGTGTTGGTGGGGCCTGTTTTGGTGATGAGGAGCATTGCTTATTACCAGCTCTCACTGAACAGCAGGGCCTGGATTTTAGCTCTGTATGGTGTGCAGCCTGGCACAGGTCTGCCCCCACCAGGTCCAGGCCAAGGAAGGACATAGGAAATTTTCTGGGGCAGAGGAAAGGGAAAAGGAGTTGTCTGGGATGCTGAGGAGCATGAGTGACTTCTGCACTGATGGATCAAGCGGTTTGGGAAAGGTGGGAGGACCAGTCGATTACCCAGACTTGCTCTCAAAGTGGCTCCCCACCTAGGAATTGCAGGCAGAGCTGGGACCTGCTGGTCCTTTGGCCCTGGCATTGCCACTGATGTGCCAGCTTTGTTCCTCCCTGGAGAAACCTATGGAGAGGAAAAAATCCCCTCTCCAGAAAGATTTACCCCCTTTTTTTTTTTTTTTCCTCTAAACAATACTTTTTCCTTGCAATTAACCTTGCTCTGGCTGACAGGCTGGGAAACCCCCTCCTTCTCTCCCTCTGCTTGGGGAATCTGGAGTTGTGCTCTGGCAGAGGCAGCAACAGTTTCCATTATGCAGGGAGGGGAATGAAGGGGTTGATATCTCTCATTTAACCCTTTAAGATCAGCTTGAGTAATTTCTAGATATCTGCCTATAAAGTGCTCCCCTGGCCTGGGGCAATGGTGGCACCAGCATATCTGGTCTTGCAGACAAACTCCCTTGCCTCACGCTTGTGGCCAGTGGAAATGGCAGGAGGGCTGAACTGCAGCAGCAATGGTGCAAACCCATGCTGCCAGCCCCGGTACCACCAGGGATGTGGGTGAGAGTTGCCTGAAAGCTGGAAGTGTGTGACCCACATGCCCTCCTCTCTACAGCTCACAAACCGTGTGCAGCTCCTCCTGATGCCAGCCAAGCACCAGCCAGACCTCTCCTACCTCCGCCATGTGCCCCTGCACCGCGTGCACCTCTTCACCATTATCCAGCTGCTGTCTCTGGCCCTGCTCTGGGTCCTAAAGTCCACCACAGCTGCTATTATTTTCCCAGTGATGGTATGACATCCCTTTTTGATTGGGTAGCACTGCTTGGTCCCAGACTGGGTACTGCCCACGCTTGCCCTGGGCGTTGCCAGAGCCCCTTGGCCCTTGTGCAAGGGACATGGGAGCTGCCCTGGGTGGGGGCTGATGCCCTGGCAGGTGATGCATGTGGGTGCTCTGACCTCCGAGGACTGAGGAGGGTCCCTGCAGGGCTTTCCCACCAGCCTTCACCAGTGGTGGCACTGGGGCTGCAGGCGTTGTGCAGGTATCAACCCCTGGTATCAAGCGAGGAGAGGTGACATTGCCACCTCCCCGGCATTTAGCAGGGGGATGAAGGGGGTGTGACAGGGACCTCTCAGCCGGCTCTCCGGCCTCCAGCGCCCGAGCAGCGCTCGGTGCTGACCTGCTTGGCCTTGGCTCAGCTGCTGGCGCTGGTGGGGCTGGGGAAGGGGCTGGAGCGGGTCT